CACACACACACACACACACACTGTCCTTGCACACTTAAGCCCTCACTGGTGTTGGTCAGATCCCCGCAATGTTGCTTTCAAAGAAAAACCTGCTGCGGTTTAGAGCACGTCTAGAATTCAAAACAGTGACAGTTTTCAGCCGACAAGAGCAAAGTTTTTTTTTTTAGAATAGAGAGAATTCTCCATGGCAACCATTGAACAAATAATAACACTAGCAGCGTGACATGTTATATTTAACTTACTCTCTATTGAGTGCTCACTAAAATTGGAATTCAAAGAAATAGTTCAAAGAGTGTTTTTTTTTTTTTTTAAGGGTTATTTATACGTTTTTGTTCTCTTCGAGATCCGCTTGCGGCCTGCTAAAGCTACATTACCACTAACAGCCCCCTCTGTGGCAGATAAGAGTGGCATTGCAGGGCAATAGTAATTTCTGTCTTGGCAGAGCTAACATTTCCACAGCGCTGCACCTCGCTGAATGGATCCTTCTGTTCGGCCCAGAGCAGACACCCTTCGGTCATTCGGAGCAGTGGGGTCTGGATGTGTTGGACATGCCTCCTAATATCCTCTGATAGACATATTGTGGCCAGTGATTTGTGTTGTTTTTTTTGCCTGATTTCAAGAACTGAACATTGCAGCACATTTGTTTGGGACTGTGAAGCCTGATATATTCAGTCCGCCAGCAAGAACACGGCCACAGAAAGCCCGCTGAGGAAGTTGCTGTCTACCTTTGAATTAGCAGCCAGACAAATGGCTGCAGCCAGAGAACAGTGGCGTGTTTTATAGCCAGTAGTGCACTTGCTCAGAGTGAGGCTGAGACAGCTGTTGATTTGTTCCAGAGAGGCAGGTGAGAGCAGGAGGATGGGAGGAGAGAGAGAGAGAGAGAGAGAGAGAGAGAGAGGAATGCAGTCAGATGCTCTGAGCCCAATAGAGACAGCTCTGTTTCCGTAGCGACAGTGGAGAAATTGACTGCCGGGGCCTTTTTTTTTTTTCGAGGGGGGGGGAGCAACGCCTGCCAGTGTCCCACACTGCCGGCCGGCCCTTGTGTGGCCTGTTTGTTGTTGTGGTGGAGAAGGAGCTGTGAATCAACAGCTGGCCCGATACAGGCCTGCAATTGAAGCAGCAGAGGGAGGGCCCCCCCCCCCAGTACCTCCCCTCCTCTCCACCACCAACGCCACCCGGCCCTGACTCCCCCGCGAAGCCCTTCATTAACCAGCCGGTGGGGAGTCGGGCAACACCAGACACTTGGCACACGATCTTGGCTGGCGGGCCAGACGTAGTTGGTGGGGGTCAAGTCTGATCACCTGCCCAGAATTCTAATGGCAGTAGTCATGCACAGGCCTGACAAACACACTTGCTGACTGACAGCACACAAGCCTGCCCTCTGTATTTACTGTTCATGCACAAATGGCAGCTCGCATGAGATTAGATTTTATTTTTACAAGACATTTGGAAGACTCACTATATGTTTTAAGCCTACATTCTCCTCTGATTTGTCAAACGCTCTCAGATTACAGGAGAAGACCTCTCTCCCGAAATGATGGCGTATCAGGCCTTTGTGCTATAAACGCCATCGGCTTCCCTTTTTCTTTTTTTTCCTCTTTGTTCCTTATTGCAAATTGGGAAGTAAAATACTGCAATCTTTCACATTGCCGTATCAGATGATACGGCAATGATGATTTCAGTAAACAGCTAGTTATCAAATCAAACACCAGCTCCAGAGTTCCCCAAGAAGCACAAAAATATCCATGAATCACCAGGGAAGTCGTTCTTCGAGTGTCTGGAACTCTAAATATGGGATGACGCACTGTGGGCATGATGGGAAGTTAATTGCTTCATTCTTTTCAAGGTCTGCAGCCGTGAGCAAGTGTTTGCTTTCAATACACAGTGCATCACAGCTTTCTATGGTTCCTCTGTTGGCCCAAGTCTCTTTTGTATTCTATATTGTCTTCTTTAGGATAGGTGGGCGGGATCTGCAGATTATACAGTCTGTGGTGATGTTGTTGCTCTGACGTTGTGATTTATTATACAGGATCATGATTACTCCAATAAGACATGCGGGAGTTTTCAAATATTCAGCAGCATTTGGTTCACCCCTCTTTTAAACGCCACCGTCATGGCGTCTTCGGAGCTCGGTTTGATGTTTGGCTGTAAGACCTCAAAGTCACACCTCGTGGTCGTTAAAGTTTCACGAGTCAGGCGGTGCAAACCTTCTTACAACTCGCAGCACGTTCTGTGTTGTTTTCAGTGATGGCAGAATATGAAGTGGCGTGTTTGTAAAACACCGTTACACATTACTTTATTCCATCAGAAAGGTTTTCCTTCGTCTGATCCAGCACATCACGTTTTCCTGACTTTCGTCTCTCCGAAATAACTTAAAATGTACTTTTTTTTGCTTTATACACATGCTGACTCATCTCCTGTTTTCATTTCATCTTCAGACTCATCAGTCTGAGTTTGATGTTGAAAAGCCTTCCCACTAGCATAATAACACGGCCACATATTGATCAGTGGCGCTACTGAAAGGATTGCGGCTTGATCTTAACAGCAGTGTTCAGCCCAAAGGCGCAGGGATGTATATGTGTGTGCATCCAGTGATGCCGTTTTATTTTCAACCCCAGTGAATGCACAACATCCTGTCCTTGCCACATGCACATGTTATGAAATGGGCACATGAGGGATTCGGCATCCTGGTTTCAATGAATGTGAAGCGTGTTTCAGAGATTCCCCTGCTGTCCCGACTGTCTTGCCAACACACTGTTGTATAGATTTGAAGAATCTTTAATATAGTTGCAACCAGAGGGAATAAAGTAATGGAGGTAAATCAACATGACTATAAATAAATCATTCTTCTTTGTTTTAGAGAATCAAAGCCAAAGAGCAGGGCCATAGATTCATTCCGTGGGAAAGAAATGAAACATGTAGCAGCTTAAAACTCTCTCCCTCTCTTATCATGAAGCTAGATAGTTGTGCTTAAGAGTAGACACATGAGAACACACACACACACACACACCTGCTATCTGGGTCCTGATAGATTTGCGTCACGGTCAGAGACTTCAGACAGATGTGTAGAGACTCGGTCGTACCCGGTTGATTTGTGTTAGTGACCGGTGTGTCGAGGCTGCATTGTGCTGTCGGTGTATGCGGGATGACGATACACACAGTCGAGAAATCCATGCATAAAGAACAAAGCAGCGACTAGCACTCGCATCACAAGACCATACCTCACTCCAGCCCAAACACCGGTAACGTTCACAACCCGCGTGGAGTATGACTACATCACAAGAAGCCGGTCCATGTCATCCGTTGTTGTCATTGCAAGTATGCTGTCCTGATGCAGTAACAGAACAGCAACAAGGCCGCATGATGAACACTCACTCGGGTTAATTCTGCGTGCTCACACAAAAGAGGTAGTGTCCAAAAATGTACGAGCTAATCCCATGCAGCAATACAGTAAACGTTAAAGGATTTGGTACAGTGAGATGAGGGGAAAGTAAGGTCTGTAAAGTGGCGGAAAGTGATCAGTAGAGATTAATATAATCCCATATTTATATATCATAATATAATACAATTTTAATAGACTTATTCATTAACAAGCTAATTATAAATGAGCTGTACAACAGTGGCGTGAGCACGTGGTACGATTGGATAGCTTTCATAGAGCTCCTGTGTTTTATACGAAACAGATCATTATAATGTTTCAAAGTGCTTGTGCTGTAGAAAATACAGTTATGTTTGATATAAGAAAGGCATTAAAGGGAATGCCGAATAAACACTTGGTAAATGCTGTGTGGTCACTGTGCAGCGTGTGTAATTTACTTGGCGCAAATGTTCAGTGTGTAGATGATTTTCTTGTAAAAAGGCTACAAGAGGGCATTTTTTATTTACAGTCATGGTCTCATTGAGTCCATACAAAGGTTTCCTATTCACAAAGTGGCCTTATGTCCCCGCGAGGGTCAGTGATGAATAAGAAACCTATGCTGAACCAGACGCAGCCAGGAGGCAAATCGGGAATGACAGAATTTCAAAGAACTGATGTGCAACAGTAAATGCTATTCATTATCGGTGAGCTGGCAGATTGGGTGAATGCTTCTGCTTCAACCGTCTTTGGCCGCGGGGCTGATAAATCCGATGTGTTTATCAGGAGGAATGCTTACTTTTACTGGCTGTGAGATTTCACTGAGACGTTTTTCAAGTCTTTGAATAAGGAATTCATGGAGGTAAAAGAAAGCAGAAGTGTTCTAGCACACACACCTGTGTGTTCTTCTACTTACCATCTTTGACTTTCATCCTGGAGAAATTACTCAGCCAGTCGAGCTCATTTCAGGTTTACTCCTTCATTCTTGTCGCCCGTTGTTTTTCGGTTATCTTCGAGTGAAGTGGTGAGTTCAAGGTTCCACCAGGAAATGCCAATATTTGACTTGGATTCAGATTAATTCATTTGCGCAAGCACTTTGTTGTGAGGTCGAGAGGGAAGTCATGGAACCTTTGGGTGTCCTTTTATCTGTTTCCTACAATGCCACCGGTGCGGTTATGAAAGGGAAGTCATTGCATCAGATAGCCTGGAAATTCTACGATCTACGTCTCCGAAAGTGTGTCCTTGCTCTGAATCCTTCCTGAGTTATGTATTTATTTCAAAAGATACGTCCCAGTAATAATTTGTCTGTGTGAGAGGGGGGGGTGCAGCTCCCTGTTGGGATCTTGTGTCCTGTAGGCACTGTGACCCTGGACTCACCCCACCCAGGCTTTGACCCTGCCCTCCCTGAGGAATGTGACCCCAGTGGAGGTCGTCTTGTGCGTGAGAGTTTGGAGATCGTTAGTCGGCTGCTGCGTCCAAATAGTTTAAAGCCACTGCTTTTTTCTATTTATTTTTATCCCGCTATCTCATTTCCTCACTAAAGCTCATCATACTCTTTGTGTTCAGGTTTAATGTGGAGCACTTGTGTACCTGTGGCTAGCCGGGCATTTCCTCCCTGGGCGTTTCTCATAAACAAGACCACAAAAGTTTGTTTTGTTTGCAAAAGTTTTAATAGTTGTGGTTATTTTACAAGAAAGATTTTTCTTTTTTTTTTCTTTCTGTCCTCCTCTCACTGGTCTGAAGTGGGCGGGCTGAGTGGAAGGAGGGGGGTGTCACTGACTTCTGTGCACCAATCACTGCAACAAATCATAATCTGATTTCAGTCTCTGGGGCTGTTTGTGTATGTTGTTAGCACTGCCTGTCAAATCTGATCAAACACACCCACGCAACCCTGATGACGCTGAGATGATGAGTCATAATGAATGATAACTATTTATGCTATATTTCCGAGCTTTAACTTCTCTTATAGAGAAATACTGAAGAGTTAACGTTGGTTTTTTATTCTGATCTTTTTTTTTTGATATTTAAAGACAACTTTACAAACTTTTTTTGGTGACTTCTGAAAAACTGTGGGGGTCAGTCATGCGCTGAGCGAGTTTGGACTCGAGCGTTTCTAAAATCCTGTTAACAACCCCAAATATACAGTAGTAGGAGTCAGGGGTGAAACAACACCATCCTCATCTGTAAAGCATCCTAAACAGAGTTTAGTTGTACAAGTTGAGTGTCAATTTATACTCAGCAACGACCGATATACTTTTAAACGTCAATTCAGGGGTGTTGCAGTATCTTCAGCGCACCCTGCATGCTCCAGGCAACGAAGAAAAGCACTAAGTTGTTGGAGCACATCGTTGCTGGCCTGCTCTTCCTGACAATCCCCACACGTCCTCTCTGCATATTCTAACACAATCACAAGCTCCTCTGAAGTAGTTGGCCTTCAAACTGTATGATGTAATGCATAGAAATGACGCGGGGAAATGAAATATGACTTATGAGTCAACAATCAACCAGAAATTTGGAGTGTTTTCATAAACCAGATGTGCGCCTGTAAGATGTGAAATGTTATGTTTTTGGCAGTGTGGTTTCAGAGAATTCCTCTGTGTAAGTTGGTCTTCAAAAGCTGCGTATCGAGTAGAGGATGACGGAGAGCAGTGATGACATTTGTAGCAGGTTCATCATTTTTCTTTCTTTTCTTTTCCTGCATAATTCCAGGAATGCACACACGATTCGGCAGTTGTTTTGTTTCATCAGCTTTCCAGCAAAGCTCCGACAAATCTTACAGCATGTCCAGAAATGGTGCAACAGTAGCAGACAATATCTGCACTGGACAGTACAAGCTAGTTCAATATCCGCTCAATTAAAAACAATCTTTAGCATAACATCAGCCATGAAGAAGAGGAGAATCGATATTCTACTTTCATGAAGACAAAGTGCATTTGAATGATTCACCAGGAGATCTTCGGATGCTCTTGTTGCATACAAAGCCCTTTGCTCAGGATACATGACGTCGGCTAACTGACCGCGTGTCTCTTCACAGGTATCTGTGTCAAATGTGGGAAAGGCGTGTATGGAGCCAGCCAAGCCTGCCAGGCCATGGGGAACCTGTATCACACAAACTGCTTCACCTGCTGCTCCTGTGGTAAGTAAAACTCACAGTTAAGTGAAATAACAGTAGAAGCTGGTGCGTCATCGGGTCTGCATTTTGTGGATGCCACGGTGACCTGTCGACATGCATCCGGCATGTGAGCATAGCCATTTACAGTGCCCCCCCCCCCCCCCCCCCCCCCCCCCCCCCCCCCCCCCCC